GTTTTCAACATGACAACTTGTACTTCTCATTGTTGCAACAAGAACTAATTTGGAAACATAGGGTTAGGTGATATGAGAAATAATGTTGATATTGCACTTGCTATGACTGGTTTAATGAATTTGGGAATGTTAGAATTTATGAGAAAAACATTCAGAAAGTGGCCAAAATCAATCAGGGCCAAAATAACATTGTATAACTAACCCTCTATTATCTGCTTGAAAGGTCATTTGTGCTATAGAGTTGTATTAGTAAATACTCAACATTTTCTTGGTGGATTTTTTTCAGCCAATCTGCCTTTTTTATCCTTCAGTTCTGAGGAAGGTACATGCTAGGAAAGGACTTTACTACTTGGTGCCAGTCCTGGGGCTTGAATTCAGCACCTGGGCTCTCTCCCTGAGCTTCTTTTGCTCAAGACTAGCACTCTACCACTGAGCCACAGCTCCACCTCTTAATTTTTGTTTGTTTATTGGAGATAAGAGTCTCATGCACTTTCCTGCTGGGGCTGGCTTTGAACTGTAATCCTCAGATACAAGCCTCTTGAGTATCTAGGATTACATGTGTGAGCCACCAGCTCCAGGGCTAGTTTACCTTCTTCATGCTAATTTCTATGAATGTTAGAATTTTTAATCACTGAGCAACGAAAAACTGAAAGTAGAGTCTAGAAATGTATTGAGACACAGAAAAGTGAGCTTGAAATTCAAAATATATTATGTGAAGAATATTATATATTCATGCAATTGTTACTGTTTAGTATTTTGCATAAAAGCCAACTCAGATATCTTACTGTACATAGAGGTTACAATTACATGGGCAAGGTAATGAGTACATTTCTTATCAAGCATTGTTGCCTCCTCCTTTGTTTCCCCTTCCCATCCCTTCCTATCGGCCCCCCCCCTCAGATTATCTTAAATAGAAGAAAGGAATTTATTGGCTTACAAAATCAAATATAGATTTCTATCACATTTGTTTCATTGTGATTAATAGAAAATAATTTAAGCATAAGATGAATTACACATTTTCTTTTTTTAAGCTGAATTTCCTTTACATAAGTCAGATAGAGTATATTTCTTTTTGGACAATGTCACTCCTTCCCTTGTTCGCTCCCTGTTTTTCTTTCCCATCCCTACCCACAAGTTGTATAGTTCAATTTCAACGAAATGTCTGGTGAGTACTACTGCTGCGTTTGTTCACTCTTTGTTTCTCCTTTTTTTTCTTTTTTTCTTTTTGGTCTGTCATGGGGCTTGAACTCTAGGCTTGGGCGATGTCCCTGAGCTCTTCAGCCCAAGGAGAGCACTCTACCGCTTGAGCCACAGCGCCACTTCCGGTTTTCTAGTGGTTTATTGGAGATAAGAGTCTCACAGACTTTCCTGCCCAGACTGGCTTTGAACTGCGATCCTCAGATCTCAGCCTCCTGAGTAGCTAGGATTACAGGCGTGAGCCACCGGCACAGGGCTTGTTCCTCCATTTCTGTGTTCCTCCTCACTCCCAAGTACAGACAGATGAACAAACAAGACAAAATGAAAATAAAAACAGCAACAAAGAAAAAACTTGTTTCCATTTCCTAGAGTTCATTTTGTTAAATATTATTTTATATGATCAGATGCACATAGATATTGTACCTTTGTGCTCCTAAGAATATCCTCCTTCTGTCTTACATTTTCTTATGCACAATGTCATTAGCCAAAAATACTAAGTGAAAGCTGAATCAAGCCACATAGAAATCCATAAAATGGAAGCCTATGCATGTTAGAAGTCTTACCAACAATTTCATTTTATTATGTATTTGAACTATGACCTAGCTATATCTGGTATTACAGCCTTCCAATTACTTTCTTACACCACTTCACAGTAACTAAGTGCAGCCCTTCTGACAGCCACTTCCATAAGTTTATTTCACGCATTTGTGTCATATTTATTATGGTATATTCTACCTAATAAGCATGTGTAAACCTGTACTACCATTTTATTGGCTTCTTAGGTTTTGTATATGCAGTTTTTCAATATTGGCCCCTAACTTTTCTTTGTAGCTTTTTTTTTTGGTCTGTCGTGGGGCTTGAACTCTGGGCCTGGGTGCTATCCCTCAGCTCTTCAGGTCAAGGCAAGCACTCGACTTCCGGTTTTCTGAGTGGTTTATTGGAGATAAGAGTTTCATGGACTTTTCCTGCCTGAGCTGGCTTTGAACCACGATTCTCAGATCTCAGCCTTTTGAGTAGCTAGGATTACAGGCATGAGCCACTGGTGCCTGGCTCTTTGTAGCTTTTTATTGGTGCCTGTTCTGGAACTTGAACTCAAGACCTCGGTTCTGTCCCTGAGCATTTGTGCTCAAGACTAGTGCTCTACCACTTGAGCCAGAGCTCCACTTCTGGCAATTTCCTTCCTTTCTTTCTTTCTTCCTTCCTTCCTTCCTTCCTTTCTTTCTTTCTTTTGGAGGGGATCAGTCATGGGACCTAAACTCAGGGCCAGGGTGCTGTCCCTGAGCTTTTCTGCATAAGGCTAGCACTCTACCACTTTGAGCCTTAGTTCTACTTCTGGCTTTCTGGTGGTTAATTGGAAATAAGAGTCTCACAGTTTTTCCTATCTGGGCTGGCTCCAAACTGCCATCCTCAGATCTCAGCCGCCTGCATAGTTAGGATTACAGGTATGAGTCACTAGTGCCCAGCTAAACTGCATTTATTTTGTCTTTTATTTTTTGGTACTGGAGGTTGAACCCAGGATATTGCACTTGCTAGGCAAGCCCTGTGGCACTGAGCTACATCCTACCCCCTGGCTTTTTTTGATCTTGTTGTTATTGGAGATAAGAGCCTCAGGGCTTTCCTGCCCAGTCTGGCTTTGAACCAAGATCCTCAGATCTCAGCTGCCTGAGTAACTAGGATTAAAGTGATGAGCCGCTACCATCTGGCAGCTCTGCAGCTTTTATTTTCACAGTGCAGTGATTTTTGAGGAATGAGTTTGTTATTTTATAGCAGGACAGACAGTACTGAAGATGAAGCTTGTTCAGGTATGACTACCTCTGCGCTCAAGATAGGTCAATACTCTGCTGAAGTTCATCTCTCTCAACTTTTGCTAGCTCTGCTTTTTTATGTGATCTAGCCTCAATATTTCTATTGCAAATAGCTTCCTTCTTGTAGTTAGTAAATAGGGCTTCAGATTAGGATGTGTTAACATTCAATCCTTAAGGAAGTAAGACATTTTCCAACTGTCTTTTAGACATTAAGCTTCAAGGAGACTTAGGAAACTCATTTAACTAGGGACATAAGAGAACTCTCATTTGTCACACCTGGGTTAACTGATTTACTGCCACATACTAAGTGGGGAGAGTGGACCTTGATAATCTTCCTCACTCATATTACATGAATTATACAATGGGTGATTTTCCAAGGAAAGGAAACTAGCAGACAGAAGCAACATGCTTTGTATTACTTCTTATGTATAAATCCCTATATTCATTTGCATGGGAAGATCTTCTGATATGTTAAATAAAAGCACATGTTACAGGACACTGCCTTGTTAGGAAATCATTTACCCATTTATCTATGTGTGTATAATTACATATGTAGAGAATTCTTGCAGAATTTTCATAAAGGATTGATGGTGATAGTCTTTGGTTGCTGATTAAAATAGTAGGAGACGTGTGCCTTATTTGTACCTTTGTGTAAAGGTTGAATTTTCTAGTGACTATGTTGTATTTCAAACACAAGAGAAAATATTGAAAGAAAATATATAGCCTATTGTATATTTGACAGATTTACATACAAAATTAGGACCTGAAATTTGCCTGTAATGTCATGCATGCTTATAAATCATGGGCCAATTGTTGATATCATACTTTATTTTCTGGAAGAGTTCAATAAATGCCAGTAGTATTTATTAAAAACTATTAATTTTTTTCAACTATTTATTAAATGGCCCAATAAATTTGAAAAAACTACCAACAGATCATTTTTGAATGCAAATAGTCTGCTGTTGAACAGTCATATTTCCTTCATTACTGGCCTGATACATAAGTAGACTAAGTGATGATAATTTCCAAAGCAAGTATAAAATAATGGATTAAAGTGGAGCATAAAGCAAGGCATACTGTTAGACATATACTTCTAATCTAATAATATGGACTAAACATAATTTTGTTTTCCAAAACAATAAAGAGCATCTATGGCCTGATATAAAGAGAAATACACATATAAACTTCATGCTTCAGAAAAATCACTCTGGGACCTAAACTGGATACTTCTTTTGTGGTTCCCCACAATGTTATGCTGTCATGTGACGTGTGTGTGTGTGTGTGTGTGTGTGTGTGTGTGTGTGTGTGTGTGTATGTGTGTGTAAAAATCAGTATTTTATTTCTTTGTAATTAAACTATCTCAAATGAGGAAATCAGTGAAGTACAATGTATGGAGACCCTTCACCCAAACAATTGATTTTTTAAATAAATAAACCTCTCAATTATCAATAATGGGAATGATTCTTCATTACATGTCTTTGTATTTTTCAGTTCTTACATTTGAGGTGGAAGTCAATATCATTATGGCTTCCAAACTTGTATTAGATCTACTTATCTGTAGCTAGAGACATCTTGTCTGAGGTAGATAAAGTTATTGAGACTTCCTTGACTGGATTCCAATTATTACTCCACTCTTCAAATTGACACAACGGGAACAGTGAGATCTTCAGTAAGAGACACTTAGTTGTAAAACAGAATAAAACAAAAATTCTACAAGGAGGGCAGGAATTCAGTCACTGTCCCAACAGAAACTAAATAATCACACATCACAAAGTAATTTAGGAATAAGTCCAAGGCTTGTGAGGTACTAAAATACTTATGTGTTTCCCTAGCAGTTTCCAAGGTGACCTCCAAATAACAGACAGAAAAAGTTTTTGTTGGAACTGCACGTAGGGCTGTGGAGATGATTCTTCAAAGTTACAAAATAGATTGTTCCAGGCCTGCATGTTCCTGGTTTGAATGTGCCAGGAATGGTTGTTTGTCTCCAAACTTGCTGTTCTAGGTCCAGTCCCTCCATGTTAGATTGTTCCATGTCTGGCCAGTCCATATTTGAAGGTATCCAGATGTGTTCAGCAGGCACTGCTGGTGCTATACATAATGAGGGCCTGGACAATTTGTAGGTACTGAGCCCTTCTGAGTCAAAATGTTGCTATTCTTTTTTTTTTTTTTTTTTGGTCAGTCATGGGGCTGAACTTTGGGCGGGGGCACTGTCCCTTAGCTCTTCAGCTCAAGGCTAGTGCTCTACCACTGGAGCCACAGCACCACTTCTTATGTGGTGCTGAGGAATTGAACCCAGGGCATCATGCATGCTAGGCAAGCACTCTACCACTGAGCCACCTTCCCAGCCCCACAATGTTGCTATTCTTAAGCTAGCTTTTCTTGTCATCTCATATATCATTCTCTAGTTTCTTGGGAGCTAGATATCAGCAGTTTGTAGCTGAAGTTGAGTATGCCAGAAAGTTTTTTGTATCTACTAAAGTCAGAGGTACTTTTCTGCCTCTGAAATCTATTATTGAATATACTCAATTGTGTATGAGAGAATACAGTCCACATCTTCTGTTCTTAACCTGGACCTTATCTTCTTTCTTTACTCTGCTCTCTCCAGAGCTAGAGACAAGTAGTTTTACTTTGGGACTAATAGATAGAGAAGGGCTATACAAATAGGCAGGTCCACAGAGAAAGGAAAAAAATAGGTGGTTTCTGTGTGGAACATCTCAGCAGATATTTGATTTTTGTTTTTGTTTTGTCAGTCATGGGGCCTGAACTCTGGGCCTGAGCTCTGTCCCTGAGCTCTTCAGCTCAAGGCTAGTGCTCTACCACTTGAGCCACAGCACCACGTCTGGCTTTTTTTCTGCTTATGTGGTGCTGAGGAATCGAACCCAGGGCCTCATGCATGCAAGGTGAGCACTCTACCACTGAGCCACTCTACCACCTTCCCAGCCCCAGCAGATGATATTTGTAAGGATGAATATTTTCTTCAGACCCATAAATCCCAGCCACTGGTGAGCAGTCCTTAGAACTAGATGCCTTTGGAAAAGGCAAACTTGGAGAAAAGCTAAATCCACACTTTTGTTTTTCATAATGGTAGGTATTTACATTTACATAGAAACAAATTTATATTTTTAGGAGGAGGCTGCAATGCTTGGTAAGAAATGTATGCATTATCCTGCCCATGTAATTGTAACCCCTCTGTACAGTATGTTCTCAAATAAAATAAAATAAAATAAAATAAAAAGAAACAAATTTATATTTTTATATTTATACAGAAATATTCAATCAGCAAACATACACATTTAATTGCACACTCAACAATAATAACTTGAGGCTGGGCACCAGTAGCTCATGCCTATAATCAGGAGGCTGAGATCTGAGGATCGTGGTTCAAAGCCAGCCCCGGCAGGAAAGTTCATGACACTCTTAGCTCCAATAAACTACTAGAAAACTGGAAGTGGTACTGTGGCTCAAGCGGTAGAGTGCTCTCCTTGAGCTGAAGAGGTTAGGGATAGCGCCCAGGCCCAGAGTTCAAGCCCCATGACTGCAAACAAAAGAAAACAATAATAACTTGAGTAGTAGGGTGTTAGTAGACTGTTTATGTTCTCTCAAAATCCATATGGTATTTGGAGGTGGGAAAGAAAGGAACATTAAAGGTCTCTAGTCAAGCCTTCTGTCCAGTGCATAATTCCTTCTATAAACTTCCTTGAGAAATGTTTTTTCAAGGGACATGAAACTTACTATTTACCCAGTCTTTTTGTGGTCAGTTGTGGGGCTTGAACTCATGGCCTGGGCACTGTTCTTGAGCTTTTATTTGCTCAAAACTAGTGCTTTACTACTTTGAGCCACAACTTCACTTCCAGTTTTGTGGTGGTTAATCAGAAATAGAGTTTCACAGACTTTCCTGCTGAGTCTGGCTTTGAACTACAATCCTCAAATCTCAGCCTCCTGAGTAGGTTGAAGTATAGGCATGAACCACCACCACTGGGCTCAATCAATCTTTTAGTAACATTTAGCAGATTATTTTATTTATCCAAAATCTACAGTTCTTTATTTTACATTCACTAATTATAACTTTGGTTACTTAAGTCCATGCATCTACTTAATGATGCCTGCCTTGGTCTGTTTTGTGCTGCTAAATCAGAATACCTGAGACTGGGTAATTTGTGATGACTAGCAGTTCATTTCCTACAATTCTAGAATCTACAAGTCCAAGATGAAGGGACCATATTTGATGAGGGCCTTCTTGCTGTATCATACCCAGGTAGAAGGCAGAAAGTCAAGACAGAGGGAGACAGGAGCTAAATTTGCATTTATTACAAATTCACTCTCTCAATAACTAACCTATGCCATGATAATATTAAACAGTTCCTGTAGGCAGAGACTTCATGACCTAATCACCCATGAACTTTGGAAGATACATTTCAGGCTATAACAATGATTAGTTTTCCTTGTTTATCATAGGACTATATGCTGATATGTTTATGTTGAATGTATTTAGAGACAGTGAATGAAAATTTAAACTGTAAATTAACACGATAGACTAAATATACAATGTATGTACATACAAAAGATATCTAAAATTCATAGACAGCACCTGCTGAATGGTGTTTTCTGTGAGTACCATGTGATAATATGTTCCATTAGAATAACTCTTCATACTTTCTGAGACAGTTCATCTATTATCATTTAATAATAAAATAATGGTTAATCATTAAATTAGTGCTTACTAGATACAACATTTGCATATATTATTTCAGTTAATCCATACCCTATATGAGGAAGATATGCATGTTGTCCCCATTTCATAGGTTTAAAGAAGTAAATAACATTTCCAAAGTTTCACAGTACGTAGTGATTTAAAGCCAAAGCAATCTGAATCCATGGTCTGAAATCTTACCCTTTAGGGAAGGAAAAAGTATTTTATCTTCACTTTATAAGTGTGAAAACTAACATGTTCAAATGTTCAGGGTCACAGTTTGTGGGGGTTTTTTACTACATTTTTATCATCTCTCCAGAGATTGCTCTAGTTTTGATAGCTAGTAGCAATTCATGTAGATATGTGAAGTATCTATTTAAATAGTATTGTAACAAGTAAAAATTAGAGTAATAGGTTGATATTCCATTTTTTGTACGTGTACTGGTCCTGGAGCTTGAACTCTGGGCCTAGACATTGTCCCTGAGCTTTTTCATTCAAGGCTAGTGCTCTACTACTAGAGCCACAGCTCCACTTCTAACTTTTTGGTAGGTAATTGGAGATAAATGTCTCACAGGTTTTCCTACCTAGGCTGCTCTCTCTCTCTCTCTCTCTCTCTCTCTCTCTCTCTCTCTCTCCCTCCCCCCCCTCTCTTTCTCTCTCCTCTCTTTCCAGTTTCTATAGTATACTATAACTAAATGGTTATGTCTTGATTGGGGAATGGAAGGCTGAATTCAAAGATTACTCCAAGATTCCCACTTGTATGCACAACTTTTCCCAGTTATTTAATCCAACTCTAATAAAATGATGTTGTGAAGGGATTTTGCAAATGTAATTAAAGTCCCAAATCAGTTGACTTTAAGATTAGGGAGATTATGCAGATAGATTTGACCTAATCATATGAGCTCTTTAAAAGCTCTGGCTTGTGGGGCAGAGGAAGTCGGAAAGAAGTATTGTGGCTGGCCAGGAAGAAGCAAACATCTCTGCTGTGAGCTGCGTGGGAGGCAACGGGCTGTGGGTTGTGGGGTATCTCTAGATCAGAGAGTAGCCTCCAGCTGATATCCTGCAAGGAAATCGGGGCCTCAGTTCTATGACAGCAGGGAATTGAATTCTGCCAACTACCTCAATGAGCTTGAAAGAGGACCCAAAGGTTCAGATGAGAATGGAGCTTAGATTACACCTTGTTTTTCACTGTGAGACCCTGAGCAGAGATCCTAGCCAAGCTGGTTCTCATATTTATAGAACTGTAAGATGACAAATTGATATTATTTCAGCTACGAATCTATGAATATTTGTTACGAACCATTAGAAAAATACTAGAGGGATAAATAATCCTAAAGTCTGTCTCCTCGGTAAGAACACAGATAGATATAAGTAGGTCATGATAAAAACAAGTACAATATATCAACAGGAGATATTTGCTTTCTGAAGTCCTTGAGTGTACTTGTAATTAAATGGAACATTGGGTGAACATTAGGGTGGAATATAACAGAAGATAAAAATAGTTCAGAAAAGATAAACTAAAATGCATCTAAAATGTAAAGGAATTGTCTAGTTTCTCATATACAGAAATGTACATTGTGCCCCAATGCTCAACACTACTTGCACAATATTCTCCAGAGCCCTAGAAGTCTTGCTACTCTTAGAGACTGGTTGATTCCTATTTTAACATCTTTACCCATCAGTGAACCTACTTGCTTTTGGAACTAAGACTTAGTTTCAATGTAAACCTGTTTTTTTTTTTTTTTGTCAGTTATGGGGCTTGAACTCAGGACCTGGGCACTGTCCTTGAGCTTTTTCGATAAGAGTTTCATGGACTTTCCTGCCTGGGCTGTCTTTGAACTGCAATCTTCAGATCTCAGCCTCTTGAGTAGCTAGGATTTTATAGGTGTGAGTCACCAGCACCCGGCCTAATCCTTTTTTTTTTTTTCCATTCTAAGTAAACTTATAAAGCATAATTAACATATAATTGAGAAATAATGATTGTATATATTTATGATGTTTGGTGTAGTGTTTTGATGTAATTATGTATTATGAAATGATTAAATCAAGTTAATTAACATATCCATCACTTCACATACTTATCACTTTGTTGTGGTGAGAACAGATAAGATCTACTCTCATAGAATTTGTCAAATGTATAATACATTATTATTGTTCACTAGATATCCAGAACTTATTCTTTTGTGTAACTGAACTTTTGTACCTTTGACCAACATCCTCTTATTTTCTAGCTGTTTTCTTACTTCTTCTAAGCCCTGACAAGCATCATTCTACTCTCTTGTTTTTTGTTTGATGTTTTAAAAGTCAACAAGGGGCAATAGTTGTCTTTCTGTGCTTGATCTATATTTTACTTGACATAATATTTGATCCTTGCAAGTAAGAGGGTTTCCTTCTCTTTTTTTCTGATTTTAGACTAGGTAGTCCACATTATATTAGAATTATGACATGTACCACCACACCTGGCTAATTTCCTTCTTCTCAGTATTCCCTTAATGCTAATCTAGTGACTTTCTTGTGTCATTATCTAGTTTCACTGTGGTTGCTTGAACACTCATATCTTCTTCAACAAAAATAGAATTATCCCACATCAGTTACTGTGAGATAATGACAACTTAGGACACAGACAATACACCATGGACCCTTATACTTTGTTTTATTGAACAACAGATTAAGGGCTCACTCTATGCCAGATAGTATATTACATATTATGTTGACAAAAGTATGGCTTAGTCCTTCTGGGTTATACTTTTTAATCTCGGGCATCTAAGCTTTTTGATTTTTTTTTTTTTTTGTCGGTCATGAGGCTTGAATTCTGGGCCTGGGCACTGTCCCTCAGCTCTTCAGCTCAAGGTTAGAACTGTACCACTTGAGCCACAGCGCCACTTCTGGTTTTCTGGTGGTTTATTGGAGATGAGAGTCTCATGGACTTTCCTGCCTGAGCTGGCTTTGAACTCAATCCTCAAATCTCAGCCTCCTGAGTAGCTAGGATTACAGGCGAGTGCTACCCCGGCTTACGCTTTTTGATTTGAGCTCTGACTTGTAGCTCCAGTATTTTATTTCTGGAACCAGACACATTTGACTTTGGTCCTTTGGGGATAAGGCTCTCCTTAGTCATTTTCTACTCTAAAAATCTAATCCCCTTACTTGTTGTTTTTGTTGTATTTTTTTCTTGTTTGAAGCCTTATCTTCTGGATATCAACCTTCTCTGGTAGTCTTCCTATCTTCCTTGGACAGTCTGGATAGTTCTAAGGGTAGGATTCAAAACCTACATTGCCCTGCAGGATCTCTTTGCCTGCTTCAGTCATCCTGTCTACCATTGCTACCCTGCCTATGTGTAACATATTGATTGATTGTTATGACTGAAAATATCTATTCTGGTTTTTTTTACATTTTTTAATTAATAAGATTGTGAAAATACCGTACAGAGGGGTTACAATTACATGAGCAAGGTAATGAGAACATTTCTTATCAAGCATTGTTGCCTCCTCCTTTGTTTCCCCTTACCATCTGAAAATATCTATTCTTTAGATGTAAGTTGCATAGCTACTTCTACTAACATCAGTTCCTGAGGAGACCAGTTACTTTCTGGGATAGTGAAGTACAGAAAATTGGTCAAACACTGGGTAAAAGATGAAATATGGAGCTTTGATGTGTTTCAAGAAACCATAACCATTGTCTAAAAAGGAATTATTGATTACAAAGGAGCCATACATAACCTTTATTTCAAAAGGAGTCATTTATTTCTTTAATCAGAATCTAAGTCTTCTTTTGAATCTACAGCTAGATGTAGACAGAATTCAATTGTGGTAATAATTGAAATAAATCAGTTTCCCCTGTCAAGCGCCACATATGTGAAACTTGTTTCATACTGGCTCTGAAGAACACGGGACCTACTGATCTCTGAATATACTCATTAGAGAACCAAAAGCCATTCTGTAGATCAAGAGATAGGACTAGAAATTAAGAAGTGATTACCTAGTAATACCCTGAGCGGATTCTACTATGAAGTAAGGGTTGGAAATGGTAGTGGAGGAGGATGTTTGCAGTGTTAAAAGGAGGTTGTTCTATGGGCCCATGTAGTAAATGAAATGGGAGAATTTGTTTTCAGCTTTGATTCCAAACCAAGGGTGCATTTTCCAAGGAAAAAGTATTTAAAATGCACCTCCATTGTTTCCTACTTGGGCTGGCTGGTGGCTCAAGCCTGTAATCCTAGCTACTAAGGAGGCTGAAATCTGAGGATCGTGGTTGGAAGCCAGCCTGGGCAAGAAAGTCTGTGAGACTCTTAGCTCTAATTAACCAGCAAAAAGCTGGAAGTGGAACTGTGGCTCAAGTGGTAAAGTGTCAATCTTGAGTGGAAAGAGCTAAGGGACAGCACCCAGAAATGGAAATCTAGCTCTAGAACTAGCACACACACAAAGATGCTTCCATATCTGTAAATGTTTGATGACAATGAGTGCATGTGAGAGAACCCTTGAAGATGTATATTGCTAAATCCTGAATAGGGAGAAAAGTTAAACAGCAGAGAGATAAGGAAGTGTAGCCTGACAGGGCAAAAGGGGACATACCTAAGTGTAGCAAAACAAAAAATTCAAGTGTGTGTGTGTGTGTGTGTGTGTGTGTGTGTGTGTGTGTGTGTGTCTGTGTGTGTGAAAAAGAGAGGAGAAAGAATTCATGTAGACTGATGGGCAATAGCTGGGTACAGAATACATGATGGTGTCTACAATATACAGGAGCCGGGGAGAAAGGTGGAAAGAGGCATTACAAGGAGACTGCTGCGGGTTTTTGGTGTTATATTCCTGAGGGAGAGGCCCAGGAGCAGTGTGGGAACAGGGCCCTTTGTCATAAGCAGTGAGAGGAGATAAGGAGAAACAGGACACCTTAGGAGCAGCCAGAGGGAAGCTAGCCAGCTGGGTGAGGAGAGGTCAAGTCAACGTGAAGCTAAAAAAATGTGTCTGTTCAAAGCCAGATAACAAAGAACTTTGTCCCTGGAGAGATCAAAAAGGAAGTTAAAACCTATATTATAAACTGGAATGGGAAGATAGAAATAGAGAAGATCCATTTGGAAAACTAGAGCTGTAAATTGGGCATTGAAGGACTATTGTCACAGTGAATTATTCACTGTTAACAGTGAATACCCGTGCAGTGGAACATTATTTGCTATGAATGCACATGTGAGCAAGTAACCTTTTCCCAAATTTTCTTTTCAGTATTTTTGGCTTGTAGAGTTCTGGAGTAGACTGAGGAAGTTGGTCAATAGAGAACAAAAATCAGGTCTAGTGAAGTGCCTGTGACTCATGCATGTAATCCTAGCTATTTAGGATGCTGAGATCTGAGGATCATGGTTCAAAGCCAGCCTTAGCAGTAAAGTCCCTGAGACTTTTATTTTCAATTGACCACCAAAAAGCCAAAAGCGAAGATGTGGCTCAAGTGGTAGAGCTCTAGCCTTGAGCAAAAAAGCTTAGAGGTAGTGCACAGACTCCCTGCCCCCCATGCATAATGAATCAAGTCCATTTCATTGCATCTAACACTTCATTTGAGCCCTCCATTTGCCATTTTTTTTGTGTATGTGCTGTGGGACTTGAACTCAGAACTCAGGGCTGCATGCTTTCTTTAGATTGTGTGTGTGTTGTGTGTGTATGTGTGTGTGTGTGTGTGTGTGTGTGTGTGTGTGTGCGCGCCAGTTCTGGGTATTGAATTCAGGGCCTGGGCACAGTCTTGAACTTTTTTTTTTGTCCATTGTAGGGCTTGAACTCTGGGCCTGGGTGCTGTCCCTCAGGTAGCTCTTCAGCTCAAGGAGAACTCTCTACCACTTGAGCCACAGCGCCACTTCCGGTTTTCTGGTGGTTTATTGGGGATAAGAGTCTCATGGACTTTCCTGCACAGGCTGGCTTTAAACCACAATCCTCACATCTCAGCCTCCCTAGAAGCTAGGATTACAGGCATGAGCCACCAGCTCCGGCTTTGAGCTTTTTTGCCCAAGGCTAGTGCTCTGCCACTTGAGGCACAGCTCCACTTTCAGCTTTTTTTTTTTGTAGTCAGTTGAAGAGTTCCATAGCTTTCATGCTCAGTCTGTCTTTGAACTGCGATCCTTAGATCTCAGACTCCTGAGTAGCTAGGATTACAGATGTGAGCCACCAGTGCCTAGCTTTCCTTAGTTTTTTGAGTTAAGGTTGACACTCTTCACTTCTGGCATTTTGGTGGTTAAATGGAGATAAAATGTCTCTCAGATTTATCTGCCTGGATTGGCTGTGAACTGTGATCCTTAGACTTCAGCCTTCTTAGTAGCTAGGATTATAGCAGTGAGCCACCAGTGCCTGACTAAGAATAATCATTTTTTTAAAATCCCCTAAAAGTCCTGCTTAGCCGAGGCAATCACTAGTTTCCTTGTGTTTGACACCTCAGGCTATGTTTCTACAAAAGTGGGTGGTAATGTTTTCCAGTTACTTTTCAATCTTGTCTTTCTCGATCTGACTACCTACAAACCAAGACAGTTTTCTTCCTGCCAGCTCATGGAGGTGAAGGACATGAGAAGGCCTCTGCTGGGAAAGCTCTGCCAAAGAAGGATGCAGGTTAGAATACATGTGCCACATCCAATTCCGGTTAGGTTTTCCCATGCCTCTATGTCCAGAGACCTCTAAATGGATTAAACATTCTTATCAAGGATAGGGGCTCAAGTTTTCTGGTATATTCTTTGTTGTGGAATGACAACAACAGGTGCCCTCTATTTCCATGGTCTCTTAAGTGTCTGTCGTATGATTCCAGAAATATCTTCAGGTTTTTTGAGCTGGGCTGACTGAGCTGTCCTCAGGACTTTTTAGCTAAGCAGCTGTTGATCAGAATGTGATGGTGTAATGAACCCATGTAGGGAAGCTGCTCTGGGGATAAATTGTCCTTGGTGCCCAGATCGAGTTCTAGCTAGAAAAGGACATTTTAGATGGTTTCATTATGCTCTGTGTCCACTACCAGATCCTGGAATGTTGCTGCCTGTCACTAGTAAATATACCCTCAGCACATAGGACCAATTAAAATAATGAATAGGTTCTGGAGAGATTTATTAACTTACCTATTGTGGTTTTACAATAAATTATTAAAGGGGGGCTGGGAAGGTGGCTCAGTGGTAGAGTGCTTGCCTTGCATTCATGAGGCCCTGGGTTTGATTCCTCAGCACCACATAAGCAGAAAAAGCTGGAAGTGGTGCTGTGGCTCAAGTGGTAGAGCACTAGCCTTGAGCTGAAGAGCTGAGGGACAGTGTCCAGGCCCAGAGTTCAGACACCATGACTGGCAAAATAAATAAATAAATAAATAAATTATTAAAGGATGTTACAGTTTATTATAGGCACATCTTTGAGCAGTTTGAGGTGGTCAGTGATATGGATATGATCCTTTATACTGTTGGTGGCAATATTTAGGTGAAAATGAGTAAGACAATTTTCTGTCTTATAAGGGAACCATATTTTTATAAAAGATATCATATTTTTACAAAATATAACTACATATGGTTATGATATGGCAAAAGTATGAATGGAAATTTGTGGGTTTATCTCGCTGGAAGGATTCATTCACTTATTCATTTATTATCAGGTACTGGGATTGCAAAACTAGTTAGGACAGTTTCTTCCTTAAAAGACCTTATAGAAGGGAGAGCAGATATGCTGAAGAGTATTGTTTGAAGTCTAGACATGGTGGTACATGCTTTTAATTCTAACTACTTGAGAGACAAAGATTGTGAGGATCACAGTTCAAGGCCAGCCTAAGCAAAAAGCAAAAAACAAAAAACAAAAAACACCTCATTTTAACAAACAGGCCTGTCATGGTGGTTTCAACTGTTTTCCAGCTATCTGAGAGGTGTAGGTAGAATGATTGCAGTTTGATACCATTGTTGACTAAAAGTGCAAGACCTATTAGAAAAAAAAAACTATAGCAAAAGAACTGAGGCTGTGGTCCAAAGTTATAGAGTACCTATGAAGCACTAGACACTAAGTTCAAAGCCAAGTACTACCAAAAAACCTGTTATAACACTCAGTAGTGTTAAAGGTATATGATAGCAGTGATCCTCAACTTTGGATACATATCAAAGACAGCTGGAGAGGTTTTTAAATCATGATGCCCAGATGGCATCAAAGGTGACTACTGCTGCCTAGTAAGAGAAGGAAATTCTTTAGCTGAATCTTGAATGTTGAGTATCAGGTTAAGAAGAGCAGGAAAGGCATTATAAGCCAAGGAAATAGCACTTGCACAGTGCAAGTAGAGAAACTGAAAGTTTAAAAGTTTTAGCTCTTCATGTGCAAAAGAAGGAAAGATATGCCAGTATTTGGGAAAGTAAAGGGAAGCAGGATCTTTTCTTTGTCCAGGATCTAACTATGTCGAACAGGCTAGCCTGTTGCAATTTTCCTACTCAGGTGCCAGATCATAAAGAACCCTGAAGAGATGTTGGTACTTATTTTATTTTATTTTATGCTGGTCCTGGGGCTTGAACTCAGAGCCTGGACACTGTTCCTGGGCACTGGTCCTTCCCAAGGCTGTTCATCTGCCACTTGAGCCACAGCTCCACTTCTAGCTTTGTAGAGGCTAATTGGAGATAAGAGTTCATGGACTTTCCTGCTGGGGCTGGCTTTGAATCACAATACTCAGATCTCCACCTCCTGAGTAGCTAGGATTACAGCTGTGAGCTACCAGCACCTGGTTTGATATTTCCACTTTATACATTTATTATAGAAGCAGTAGGAAAAGGGTTTTATGTACAGAACTGCCATGATCATGCCAGGTATTTTGGTTTTAAAAACTCACTTTTGTGGCAGTGTAAAGGAAGGAAATGATGACTCCATACTGAGTCACACATACCAGCTAGAAAGATAGTACAATTATCCAGGTGAGAAGTCCTGTAGGTGTGCACTTAGGCCATGGCAATGGGGACTAAGGGGAAATGTGGGAGGTACCTGGGAAGTAAACTCAGCTTGGAGCATGGAGGAAGTTCATACATGGGAATCATGTATGACCTCTCAGATTATAGAAACATAGCAGAGAGAATCAGAAATCACTAAGGCAAGTTAGATTGGGGAGTTAACATGTTTTGATTGTTGTGTTTCCTTAAATGTAAAGTAATAGACAATCTTGGTGAAATGAACAAGGATGCTTTGAAACCACAAAGCTGGAGATTTGCAAAGCAGACAGGGTTAGAGACAGAATGCTTGGGTTTGTACTTATAATGATATGAACTTGGGAAACAGTCTGAATGTTTGAAAATATCCTTCCTCTCTTCTTACCTTATCTGAGAGCCCTCTAGTGACAAAAAGCACATATTACACTTCATATATATATATATATATATATATATATATATATATATATATATATTTCTAGTTATTTTTCTTCTTTTGTACCAGTACCATGGCTTGAACTAAGGGTCTTGTGCTCTTGCTCAGCTTGCTTGCTCATGACTGCTGCCACTCTACCATTTAAGCCATGCCTTTAACCAGGCATTTTGCCAGTTAATTGGAGATGGAGTCTTGCCGATTTTTCTACTCAAGCTGTCTTTTAACTGCAGTCTTAAATCTCAGCCTCCTGGATAGCTAGGATAATAGGCATGAGCCCATGGTGGCCTTCTTTAGCATATTTCTTAAAAATGCCTCAACTTAATTAAACGTTATCATAAAATGAAGATTCAGGATCTTGATTTTGGTCAAAATACTAGTATTTTAATATTGGTGTTAATAATATTATTTAAAATTCAATAGTAATATTATTTTAAAAGTAGTCTCTTAATATTTTGACATTTGTTACTTGTCACAATTAAGGGAGTGTCAAAAGAACTTGAAATTAACCTGCTAGAAATGAATCTATTTATGTGAGGAATTGTGGAACCCCCTGTGTAAGGATGGATTCTAAAGCAGTGATTGTCCATCTTGGAACTTTAAGGAATCACAATGCTTAGGATATATCCAAGACCAATTAAGTTGAATCTATGAGGGAAGGACCTGGCCAGGCACTAATATTTACTGAATATTATTACCCACAGGTAATTCTGGTTGGGAACTGCTGCTGAAGAGAATGAGAGCCTACAGATGGACAAGTATGAGCCAGGGATGCCTGCAAAAGTGGCAGGGGTGGAGTAGGGCCAGGAAAAGCATGTGTTTAGCAAGACCTGAGGCCATACCTGAATTGTCAAACCTGAGTCTCAGTTCTAGAAAACTCTAGTAAGAGAGTAAAAGCTGAACTAACAGTGTTCTCTATCAATTCAGTAAGACAATAAATGCACAAGTAGTCAACAGCTGGCTATGTTGCACAAGTAGTCAATACTGCTGGCTATGTTGGAAGTGGTGACCCCTTCATTCCCCCAAATTTTATTGAGAGCCTGTGCTATGTACCACATACTAGTCTAGATAATGAAGACATAGTGACAAACAGGGTAAACTGTCTTTTTTTCTGTTGGATCATGGAGTCTAGTGTGAAGAGATGGAAAAAAACAATAGAATATGCTACTTGTTGCACAGAGTTTTAAATGTTTGGCATGGCTGAGAAATGGAAAAGAAAGTACTGCTAAATCAGGCTGATTAGAGAGAGCCTCACAAAAAGAAGTTCTACACATCTTGTACAACCTAGCAAACCATGGCATGGGAAGGTGGCTCAGTGGTAGAGCGCTTGCCTTGCATGCCTGAGGCCCTGGGTTCGATTCCTCAGCACCACATAAGCAAAGAGAAAAAAGCCGGAATTGGTGCTGTGGCCCAAGTGGTAGAGCGCTAGCCTTGAGCTGAAGAGCTGAGGGACAGCGCCCAGGCCCAGAGTTCAGGCCCCACAACCGGGGTGACCCCCCCCCCAAAAAAAAGAATGTTGGAGGGCTGGGAAGGCGGCTCAGTGGTAGAGCGTTTGCCTTGCATGCATGAGGCCCTGGGTTCGATTCCTCAGCACCACATAAAGCAGAAAAAGCCAGAAGTGGTACTGTGGCTCTAGTGGTAGAGCGTTAGCCTTGAGCTGAAGAGCTGAGGGACCGTGCCCAGCCCCAGAGTTCAGGCTCCACAACTGGCAAAAAAAAAAAAAAAAAAAAAAAAAAAAAGGAATGTTGGAGAGTCACTAGATGATTCTGAGCAGCATAATAAGGTATTGTAAAGGTTGGGCAACCAAAACGTTGGCCTGCACCCGTTGTGGGTGGTCAGAGAGCGAACTAATGGTGGAGAGAGATTATATAAGGGAAGGCAAGGAGGAGTTGTGGCCACAGCAGATGCTGAAGTGACCTCAGAGACTGGGGGACCGCCCACTGTCCAAAGGAGGCATGACCTGGGCAGATGAGGAAGTGACCTCAGAGGATGAGAAGGTGATCTCACGGCCAGGGGCTGCCCCCAGGTGCACCACTTACTTGCGGTTAAAGGTGCTGGGTGGGGATTTCTAGAGAGGGCTGTGTGGGTCTTTCACAGATAACAAAGGGGGAGGGGTCTACATGCAGTTTTGCCTGAAGAGAAAACAAGAGAAGAGGCCGTTTTTCCCTTGAAAGACCTAACAGGTATATCTCCATTTTATTTTTGGTTCCAGTTCTGGGACTTAAATTTAAGGCTGGTACTCTACCACATAAACCACAATTCTATTTCTGGATTTTTGGAGGTTAATTGGAGATAAAAGTTCC